ACTCTGGGCTGAGTTGTGTAGCACAGTCTTTCAGATGTAAGATATAAGAGGCCGAATGCAAAGGAAAAGGCCTTTCTTGAGCTGGTCAGAGCGCACGCCTGGTCCTGATTCACAGCTTCCCCGAGGGTGCTCGCGATGCCATGAGGTCTTTCTGGGCGCAGTCCCCAGGGGGCTGGAGAAAGTCCTTCCCTTCAGAAATCAGAAATGGATTGTGATCGGAACACGCTGGCTCACAAGGGGGCAGGATATTTGAAATCGGGATTGGGCCATAAAATCCGGTCCAGGTGACCACCAGACCCAACTCACCCCCATGCCCTAAGCTACACGTTTGGTGACAGTAACGCTGTGGCTGGCAGATCACCACAGGGCACCCTTTGTCTATGAGCAAGTCCCACAATGGAAACTGCTGCCAAAACACATGACCTGCTCTTCCCAGAAAACAGAACGGAGACGTTGCATTTGCAATGTTTCATCTGGGCGTGTCCAGCAAACTAACGCTTCCGGTAAAGATCGTCTTCCCTCCACCCTCCCCTTCCTGCACCCTGTCCTCTGTGGGCCCCCCTCCTTCTCTACCCACGAGCCTGCTCTCCTGGATGGCCCCTGGGGACCCCAACGTTCCCTGACTCTTCTCTTCCCTCCGAACTCCTGTTCCTACCGCTCCTGTCCTCAGTCGAAGCTGCTGCTCCAAGCGGTTAATTTGGTTTCACAGCCTTAGGGCAGTCAGTGAGCTCGGGCGCTGTCCATGGGAATCAAATCAACGCCGCCGCCAGTTTGGAGGACAGTTTGGCAACGTCTATTAACATTTTAAATACACACCGTGACCCAGCACTGGCACTACCACGGATCTCTCCTCTAAAAATAATCCCAGGCACGTGTCAAGATACAGGCACAAGAATGAACACCGGAGAGTGACACGTAACAACGGCAAGTCGGAAGTGACCTCAGTGTCCATCAGTAGGGGAACTGGTCACATAAATCATCATCTCAGGGTAGAATACAATGCAGTCAGTAAAAGAGTAAGGCAGTGACTTGGGAAGATTCTAGAA